TCGTTCTCCTCACTGCATCAACTTCAGCTTAACCTACCACTGCTTATGGCTAAGATCTAGTTTGATCACTGAGGGGTCAAGGGGTAGGGGTAGATAAGCTCATTCCACACCCTAGGCTTAAGAACTTGAACTTTGTCCCAATCCTTGATCTTTTGATGCTGAAAGTCTAGTATTCTGACAAAAGAACTTCATGATTACTCATGCCTATGATAGGATCGGTATCGAATGTCTCTTGACCTTTTAGGCTTTGACCCAAGCGATGGGGGCGAACCGTAGGTCTAATAAAGTGCTACAACCCTGAAGGTTCAAACAGAATGTTTGCTTCAAATCCCCCTTCACCCTCATTGTGCAGAGAATCAGCAGCTGGCCACGGCGGCAGCAATTTAGCAGGTGTGGCTCCATGAGCGCTGCACGATCGTAATCGACCCTTCGTCGTTTTTTTGTTCCAAAATCGGGCACTAAAATCCTGACACTTGTCCATACTCCACTGGAAATGGGTCCATGGTAATGAAAGGATTCTCTCATAGTTAACAACTTAATTAACGAACAAAGTAAAACATTGATCAGGTCGTTTTCGATGCACCATGCACTCGTGTTTCATCCTCTATCACAGAGGTTTTTCAAATTGTGTTCGGACTAAATGCCATAGTGGGTCAATGCCTGGGTCCTTGTCTTGTAAATATAGCCTTGGTTGGCCTTCGGAGGACTTCTTTTTCAGAAGAGGATTGATCAGCGTCGCACGCTTCCCTTTTTATTTTTCTGACAGAACACACAAATAGGCCACGTTGATAACCACGCAGGTATGCTCCTTTTCCGGCAATGGCAAGGCACTTCCTGGATACTGTGATGGGCATTTTTTAAATCTTTATCGAGATAATTTTAAAAAGAATTTTGAACTAGACCTACATAGCATGGTAAATTTTGATGTACTAAATGGCCTTGCCCTGGTTTCTGAACCTCCCTGGATCGAAAATGGCGCAACCGCGAAACATAACTAACCACCCAATTACAAATCCCATGAATGTGAAGACATCTTGCGAAACCAATTTCTCGTGACCAAGTTCGCCAGGATTGAGTCACTTGAAAAGCTCAGTACAAAACTAAAGTGCACGGCGCGGTTTTCAGAAACTGGCCAACAGCACGGTGCCACTACTGGTTTCCCTCATTGATCCGTTAAGCCGAACTGTCTACCGTGTACAAAGCAACACAGTGAACCCAGAGAAAGCCAGTTGAAGGTTTTCTCATGGAGAAAATCACTTATGGATGGCTTCTGACTAGACGACTCACTACGATGATCATCTCATTTAACTCAATATTATCCTCATTAAATCACCACCATGCTCTGTATCTGCTCATTGCGTTATTCACGTTTACTTCCTCAAAGCCTTCACATTTCCAAAAATCCATTCCCAATTTGAATTTGGCCTACATGGGACCGATCATGGAGGCCACGCAGCTGGTGTCTGTGATGGATTAATCAAGAGGAAGTGGTTGTTTCGAATTCCAAAGATTGATGATGGTGAGATCATTGACAATCAATAGGTAGGCATTTTTCTTGAACTCTGTGAAGGGAACTTCTGATTCGAGGAAGGCCCGATTCACCAGACCAATCTTTGCTCTATAGGGTGCACAGGGGCAAGGAAGGAACGCTGCCCCAATTGCTTGGAACCAGAAGTTTATCTCAGCACTAAGGACTTTCAATTTCTCGGTTCATATTTTTAACGAAATAGCTTTAGCGTGAACTTTATGACCCTGCCATGTAATCCAAATTATCATTTTCTTAATTCTAGGATTTTGCATGAGAGTCGATTGCATGGCTCTTTCGAAAGATTGATTGATTACCCTTTACTCTGCTATTTGTTTCCGCCTTATTACCAGTAAACAGATCATGCCAGATCTATCGCTTGACTTTAGAAGTTCTATATATTGTAAAATTCAAAGAAATAAAGAAAGGTTAGCGAAAAAGAGGAGCGCTCAGGGTGAGTGTCAATGAAATATGTCCCGAGGATTCGATGGCAGCAACCAGATTTCACAGATGTTCCAAAGTATTAAACAATTAATGAATACTTTCTTTGGCTTGGTTTCATCTCTTTAATGATCTTCATGGCTTCTAGTATCACTGAACTCGTGTCTTCGTTTTAAAATATCAAATCACTTCGGTCTTATCGTTGTTAATGACCAATCATTTTCGTTATCCTATCGTGGTTTTGTTCTTCCAATCGTATCAATTATCCTAGACTAATCTTGAACTTGCTCAATCAGTGAATGTTCCAGAATGTCTGAGAAGGTCACAGAAGGACAAGTGTTCGTAGTCGACAATCGACGACGCGACGAACTCATTAAGACGATCCTTATTATCGTGTTGATAATCGTATTCCCGGTGAGTGATCTATAAGCGAAGCATAGCACCCTCTGCTATCATGGACATTGTTCAGTCTAGCCACATTCGAACGAATAGGGTTAGTATGTATTAGGTACCGGATATCTTAATGTCGTTTTTTCACCAAGAGTATTGGACCAGCAATATTTCAGTTCAAAACCCGGGGAGGGAGTTAGTTTAATCATAAAATGACTTACTAGGATCCCCTCATCTAACAGTTAGAGTGGCAACCTTGCACGATCCAAGCTCGGAATTTTTTGAGTTAAAAAGTAGAGGCAGGTCGGTTTTGACATCCTCTGATAAATCATCCCTGTTACTTGCTTAAAAGTAAGGCCTGGACAAAGTAAGTGTACAGCTGGTTAGCGTAGGGTCTGCATTGCACGACAGAAAAATTAGAACTTATCAGCCCAAGTGGGCAGTTTTTTACGGAGACTTTTTTGCAACATAGGGTCAAAAACGCACCCTTTTTGAGCGCGCGTGAGGGGCAGGTGAACACATTTATCAGAATATCTTGCGGAATCAAATCCATAGGAATGTTTGCGCATCATCATTCCATCAGAGTGAAAGTATCCTACCATTTCAGCACAAGTCTGGTGCAGCCCCTTCTCAGCTGGCTTAACTAGGGCCATCTTTTTGAAGACGATTGCCGGCATCCTTTCAAAAACTTCACTGTCTTTTAGGAAACCTGAGGAGAACCGTTGAGCATTCCAAACGGTAGTATTCCTTCCAACAAAAGCAATGTTAGTTTGGTTGGCGGATCTGTAGCTCCCAGCCCGACTTTGATGGCATTTGGTACACACATACGAATTTGCGCAATGAACCCAGGAATTTTCAGAAAAAGGTATAAAAATTGGGGGAGAGATAAATTGTAAAGTAACAATAGGGACTAATAAGCAACATGTTACGTAGTATTAATAAGCAAAGAGAACGTTCTGAGAAACTGATTTTTCATGGTAATTGGCCCCGAAACATCCTGAACTCAGAAAAACGACATTAAGATATCCGGTACCTAATAGAATAGAAGGATGCGTATTTTAGTAGCGAATTGATGATTCACCTTAAGTGCTTAAAGGCAGCGATTACGACAAGTTCTAGAAGAATTTAGATAAGACGTGGTAGAGCTTAATGAAATGAGACCCCTTTTCTGGCTGGCGGGTTTTCACCCATGAACAGCTAACAGCTCAGAAAGCGGACTAGTGGACGAGTTCACCGCAGCGCGTTTGGTGGCCCGTGCCAGACCACGCTGCATTCGAGTTGCTCCGGTTGTGCTGCTGCTGGCACGCAGCTCGTCCAAATTACCAGCCAAAACTAGTGGGCGGATCGTCCTTTGGGGGCGGAGTGCTTTCGAAGTCGTGCTCAGTAAACCAGCGCACCCTTCATTGTGAAAGCGCCACATCTGGCTCCCTTGACAGCCAAGTAGCTGCGCATATGCTTCCCCGATGGGTTCCCTTTTTTCGTAATCACTCCTTTATAGCAATTTTCGGAATAAATCGTAGCCCATGTGATCCTCTTCGCCTGGCCCCGTGATACCTACTCGTTCAGTCGATACTTATTTTATTCCTCTTCGCGTACTCGCATTTTTCACCTTTGTTGCCGACACTGAAAAATGCCTTATCAACCCTCTTTTTCAACGAGACAGTTGAATATTACCAGAATCCGCTATAAACCTTCGAATGACCGCCAGCGTCATATCGGAGTGCTAGTCAAGAGGTCCCTGTGCAGCGGCGCAGCCAAATTGGTGTTTCGCGTCAATCATTGCAGTAGGCGATATCGTTCCCGACCAAACTCCTATCCAGCCACCTTTGAGGGCGAGTGTGGGAGCTATCGAAGCAAGATCCCTGAATACCTCTTCTTTTCTTCTCTCTTTCCCTTTATATGCTTTCCCACGAATATCGTGAGTTGCTTTTAACGTTTATGGAATTCTAACTGGTATTGAGCCTTTTGAGTCCTTCCATGCATTTCGTATTATTGGATTTTGAAAAGAAAAGAAAAATAAAATAATAAAAATAAATAATAAAATTATGTAAAAATATCTTGCTTCAAGAGTGAGTAGCTCATTATGGGATGGTTCACGGTAGGTCTTGGTCTAGCTGAGGGATCTTTACGTAGAACCCATCCATCAGGTCCGCTCTTGGTTGTTTGTTAGCCTATCCAAAAGTTCAAAATTTCGGTTTCATGAAATACTCTCTTGCTGATCTCTTCCCATTGTTGTGCTAGACGGTTCACGGATGAAATTGGTCCAGTTATTTTGCTCTGAAATGAAAGTGGAGGTGCGAAATGGACGGGTACTGAAAAAAGGGAGAACCAACGAAAACTCTAGAAAAGTGATCTTTCCAGGATTTCAAGGGTCTCAAAGGGTAACCAGCGAGATGAACGATAGTGAGCGTCGCCGGAAGGGGGAAGAATTAGCAGCGAGTATGGGTTAGTGTAAATTTGACTCATGATGGCAATTTTGAGCTATGTGTGAAAGAAATTGGCCGATACACTCTGTTCTTCTAACCTCTCCTACCCTGCTCCATCCCCCACCTTCCCTATATTTTCAATCATTTATCAGTAAGGTGAAACCGGTTCCACCTGACACACAGCAATCTGCTTCCAAGATTCTAAGACTGTGTTGAGCGGGGCTGGGTTTGGGTAAATGACCTTTGCGCTATTATTGTGTAATTTATTATATCCACTGTCTCCGAGTGTATACACAACCCCTGTACCCTCCCCCTGCTCCTAACTTTCACAAAATCCGAAACATGGCTCCGTGACTGCAAATCTAAAATCATGGACCGTAGATTACCCAGACTTGCTCCTACAGTCTTACTTTCCTCTGCGCTTTGCGTAACCGTTTGCGGCCCAAGTCCTAATTCCTACGTTTTCTCGTTGCTGGTCTAAGTTTATAGAATATAATGTTAGTAGAGTTAGAAGCCGATGGCGGAGTGTGGCGAGAGGTGGGCTTTCGCAATGTTCTGAGGTAGTTGAAGAAGAAGTATTATTTGGAGAAGGCTCAGTATAAATCGACAATAAAATAAGAAAAATGACATCTGCCGTTTCCAAAACTGTAGAGAGATTTATTTCGGAGTGTTTATTTCTGTAGAAAGTTCTGGTCCTAATAACACTACAACGTTTTTCAGCCAGCCGCTATCGCTGTACAAGCGAACGAGTGCAACATTCACGTAGTGGTCAGTCTGTTCTTGATGTTCTTCTTCATCATACCCGCCTACATTCATGCTGTCTGGTACTGTTTCATCCGAAAAGCACCCGAACATGTGATTGCCTGAGCAGCTCACCGATGTGAAGATATCCTTCTAACACCCTCTTCTCACTTTCGTTTCCCATCCCTCTAAATCGTCACTCCCTTCACATTCCGATTCTGTCACACAGAAGTACGCCATGCTCTCACAATCCGTTTGTTATTGACTTTTGAATGCTTTATGTTGATATGTTGTGTATTGATCGATTAATCAGCCTATTGAGTCGATCATCCGTTCGGGACGAGTTCTCACTTTGGGTGTGCGTCTTGTCGTGTGAGAAGGGGTGTAGCTCGGACGAGTACATTGTTGTTGAAAGTGAAGGTGGTTCAACTCAGCTGCAGTTGTGTCCCAAGGTTACGCCGCGACGCAACCGCTGGCTATACCATGGCAATAAATTCGCCCGAGTCATGTCCCTTCTTGCGGGAAAGGACGTCGCCCTCCCTCTTTCATCGTACATTACATGTCTAAATATTTTGTATTATTTTTCTATGATGTTGAACACTATTCAATAAACATATTTTGCGTTGTCGTATGGTAAACGTTGGGACCGCCACCTATTATGACTTTTGGTGGGTGGAGAGGTATTTTGGGAATACATTGCCGTACATAGTAAGTCGGTGGAGAAGTTCCCCACCCTGCCACTCTTGTAAATATTTGAATAACTACCCTGCATGGAATAAACAGAGCTCAAAGGTGTTGAGCATCACCACACATCAATGGGCTCAACTCTTGGGCAGCGGTTCCATTCCCTCCGCCTATAAGGACGGAGTTTGGAAGTGACAAAGTTGGCAAGCACCTTCCCTCCTGGTTTCCTGTCTTGGAATTTTCTGGTAGAAAGGTTGAAGGTGGCCGTGGAGGCAGCAGTTGGGCAGGGCAGGGTCAGTGAATGTAACCTATGAGAATTAGCGCGGGTACTCCTTCAACTCAACCTGTGAGGTTTGCTCGTGTTTCACGGCTGTGCTCAGCGCCGGTTTATTATCACCTAGATCCCCTGAAACCCTAGTTCGCCTGGCGCGAACACTGGTCCTTACCATCGGTCCCCCTACAGCGCCTCCTGAAGAGAAATTACTAAATTACTCTATTACTCGACGCCAATACACTATTGGCGCCGAGTGGTAGACGGTGGCAGTCGTATCTCTTATCTTCAGGATGTAGCGCTCCTAGAATACCTGTAAAAGGTTTGGGGCTGAGGACTGTTCGATCAATTAATATTTTGCATACTAGGATAGCGTATCGCACAATCTTCGTATCGCACAAGCTTCCACCGCCTCATTCCATGAGGTTTGAGAGCAAGGCCAACTGTTCGTTGCTGGGTAATTTTCAGAGTGATAAGATGATTCTTGGGTGAAGCGTCGTACTTGAAGTTTTTAGAGGAGGTCGAGGCGTGTGGTTGAGGCTGTCGTATTTGTGGTGTTTGTAGAGAGGGTGGTAGACCGACTAGCTACTACAAAATCCGAACCTGACCCTATGGTTGTGTGGTTTGAACTTTCGCGGTCTAATGCTTTCAACAGAATAGAAACATCCAATGAATGCACTTTCGCCTTGACTGGCGTTGTTAGCCACCTTCACTTACCCTAACTTATCCAACGGATGTATATTGGACCTAATGTTATATTTTTTGCAAAAAATGTGGTGAGCAGGGTCAACAGTTCGGTTGAACATTCTCAAGAGGATCCTATCTGCAACTTTGGATTAGAGGTCGTATTAGTAGTTTATAGGGGATCGTGATGGCAGAAGTTTAGGGACGTTTTTCACAATAGGGAACATTCCTTCGGGATTTTAGATGTGGAAACTTTTCACTGTTCTTTCCGGAAGTTGCTGCTGAATGCGAAAAATCGAGATTGAGTGCTGTCTCAGGTGTGACTATCTCCCACTCCGGTTGACGCTTTTTTGAGGAATCTCAGGGCGGTCAGGGTGAGGTGATGGCAGATTAGGACTTCATGTACATACACTGCAGAGGAGTGATGGGGAATAGGAATCGGTCGTATGGGGAACATTACCAAGATTGCTTCGTTTTCGAGTTTATTTCCCATGTCATAACTTCCTCGTTGAATAACACCCGAGTCAAGATTAGATCAGGGGCTCCGCCGAAATAACGGCTATAAGACTGAAAAACGCAGCCTATAGCTGGGCTCAAATCTGGTCTACGTGTGCAAGGCTAAAACGTGGGCATGACAATGGGCTGAGCACAATTTGCTACTTGGACTGCGTAAAGAATGAGATGTGTTGGGTGGAGTTCGTCAGTGGGCAGGGTTATCTGGTAAGGGTGATCACGAATGACTATACCTGTACCAGTTTAGCTCCGCACGCAACCGCGCGCATCACATGGTAGGCTTTAGTGAAGCTGGACAACTTGCTGAATATTAGGTCACGTGGCTGAGAAACTAACAGTAAGATGTTTGGAAGATGTGTCACATGAAATTTCAAAGGCCGTCCAATTTTGCTGAAGATTGTAGCGTAACGCGCAGTAGCATGCGGAATGAAAATGGTACTTATCATGACTTCGTAAACATTTAGCATTGATATCGAGCTCGGGCGATTTAGCGGTTTATAGAATTTCCACAATTGAAGAATCGGTGTGTAAGTGAAATATAACCAATCAATCAGCATCTAACCATGATGGAGATTGCAAATGATGGAAATTCGCTATTGGTCCCAGCCCAGATAGTTGAGCAGCTCAACTTTCTTTGCTTCTTTAGATGAAAGGATAGGAATGGAACATATTCACGTGCTAGGGACCTGGTTTAGTTCAACTGAGTGCACGCTCAACTGTCGCTACTTTTATCAGTACAGTTGCCGCTCATACCACTTTCTGTCACCTACATTCAACCCTCGCCACCTTGATCGCTTGCCAGTGATAATTGCAACGAAGTTGTAGAGACCTGCATTCAAATGCTCTTATCATTCCTTGTCATTTCTTATCAGTTCATACTGTTCGCAATCGGTGTCCCGGTCCCAACCTCCAGCAACGTGTAGGAGCTAATATTTACTGTCACCACGAAGGCTGCAACGAAATTAGCAGTACTCAAAATCCTAACTTCCTTATCAACCGTTATCGCTTGTTATCACTTCTGATCATCCGCTATCCGTGTTCCCGTCCCATCCCCTATACCACATGTGAGAGCCAAGGTTCCAATGTAACCGCAAGGGCCGCAACGAAACTGGTGGTATCCACACTTTGACGCCCCTTATCAGTTCTTATCAGTTGCTACCACATTCGTTCACTCAACTTCTTGGTCCCCGCCTCACCCCACATATCATACATGAGTGCAAACTCTCCACCATCAACGCGAACGGTGTAACGAAATTGGTGACATCAACATTTCGACGTCCGTTATCAGCTCCTATCAGTAGTTATCACTTCCCGCCACCCGTCATCAGTGTTCACCTCCGGCCCCCTATATATCCTAGAAGTTTGAGCGCTCTGGGTCCAAAGGGGGTGAAGTTATGAATTTCCGGTCAGACACACACACACACACACACAACCGCTTAGCCGATTATACAGTGCGTTTCATAAGTATAGACGCACCCCAAAATCTTACACGAATAGTTTCAAACGGATCCATAGGGTAACATAATGGCACTAGTAGGAATCATCGGAGAAATAGTCTCAGTTACAATACGTCTCGTAGTTATGAGAAATTTTTTCGAGGTATATTAGGCATCGACCCTGTTGCCCAACGTTTCATAAGTATAGACGCACCTCTAAGACACAATACTTTTATTATGAAATCAAAACAATAAAAACTCCTAAGTAATTAATTGTTTCTTAGTACTTCGTAAAGATAGAAGAAAGAGTAGATTTAACCATCCGCTGAGCAGTTATACGACCAGACGATTCCATTCCTGACTAATCACCACTCTGAGGTCGGTCACCTTAACAAAAGTCCCTCTGTGACGTTAAATATTGCAACCCAGGAGGCCTCAGATGTTTTTAATGAGATTGACATTGGGTGAACAAGCAGGCCAGTCCACAGTAGTTGCATTTCGCTCCTCTAGCCACGACCAAGTAGACCGCCTCATTTGGATCACAGCGTTGTCCTGCTAAAAAACAAATTCTCCCTCGCCATACCCTGCCAAAAAAGGTAGCGAGTGAGGACTGAGCACGTCTTTGTTTTCCGTGGAGTCCATGTGGGTGGGAGTGAAAGCGATTTCTTGCGTCCCACATCGGTGAAATACATTCCAAATTGTGACGCGTCATCCATCGAAATCACGCTTATTGGAAAACTTCGACACCTTGCACAGATCTCTCCATTAAAATGTATACCCGTCTAAACCGTTCAGGTTGAGCTTCTTCTCGTCGGAGAATATCAGTTGAGCAAGAAGTTTCGAATGGGAAGCTTTAAGAGAAGGGGTGTAAATTGGGCCAGTTTGCTGCCATATTCCTCTTAGCAAATTGGAGCCGTGCCTCTTTGTGAGACGCGGTGAGACGGGGAGCTGGACGGAGACGACTTCGCACGACGTTGCTGTTGCCACTGAACGCCCTCCACACCGCCGTTTGGAGGCAGGTGCCGCTGACGGAACTTTTTGGGGCTGAGTCGAGAGTTCAAGACCAATCGTTCAATCTGACGTTCTGCTTGCGGAGCAGCTTCCTTGGTCTACCTGATCCCTTTTTGCGACCGTAGGATTCCGTGTCACTTACGAGTTGATCGACGACCCTTGAGGAGCAACACAATTGGGGAGCAATTATGCGATTGCTCAGACATACCGTGTGCAGGGCGCGATCCTGAGCCTGCTCGGCAACTGGAAGCTGTGAGCCCCTGCTATTTAACGATATGATGCGTAGTACTTATGGCTAATTACTGCTTCCTTGAACTTAACTTTCGCAGGCCAAGTGTTCAGTTTCATGGCGATTTCTAAAGTGCGTCTATACTTATGAAACGGTCCATTTGGTAACAAACCGTTGAAAAATACCCAATTTTTCTCCGATTCAAATAAAACCTGTCTCACAAAGGTTTTCCGGCACGCTGATTACGATATTAACAACCCTTTTTGTCACGGATATCGTTAAACTTTGATGACAGCTTTTTTGAGGGTGCGTCTATACTTATGAAACGCACTGTATACGCGGCCATGGATGTGGGATCGTCGTGGACTTGTATTTTTATTTTCTTGTGTCTGTTTTTTGCGAATGACTCGATAATATGAAAACTTTATGCTTAGCACTCCGCAGTACCAACGAGCATAAGCACAAAAATACCATCGGAAAACGGAGAGCCAATACAATCGGGGTGTGCTTGCATTATTTCTTCGATCTGTGAGAAGAGCGGTGAGAGCGGGATGACTTTCGGGAACGCGACGATCTGTGGTGGGAACGTCCTGAACGTCCAGACTTCGATGATCGATGCGAGCGTTCAGAAGACTTCGGCGAGTGGCGAGACTTCTTGGAACGGCTTGAATGGCCCGATTTGTGCGAACGACTCGATTTGTGTGAGCGACTCGATTTGTGTGAGCGACTCGATTTGTGCGAACGGCCCGATTTTTCTGATCGGCCTGTACGCTCAGACTTCTGTGAACGATCTGATTTACGGGAGCTTCGTGATCGTGCACTTTTTGACCTCCTGCTCTTCTTCCTCTTCCGTCTAGATCTACTAGCTCGACTTCTGGTCATACGTCTACTTGGTGCCTGAAAGTGGGAAAAGTTACAAAGGAAATTTCATAGTTGCAAAGCAATTCTCTTACACTAGCGTAGTGATAACCGGAGCAGATGTGATCTGTGTACTTTTTCCATTTATCTGCTTCCTTCCAGAGAATCATCATGCCAATGCAGAAGATAACGATGGCGAACAAAATGCCAGCATACATGTAAAGCAGATATAGGGTGATATTGTACGTCGAGTTCAAAAACGAACCCACGAAAAACAGTTCATAGATATGTGGAATCGTCGAGTTCGGATGACGTATATGGCTTATCTCAGACATCTGGAAGAAAGTTCAATTAAGACAGTCCAATGGAGCGTTCAGAGTTGGCGATCGCACGTGCGATTAGGCGAGTGGGCGATTAGGCGATTAGTCTAAAATGAAAAATATACGTATAGATTAGGCGATTAGGCGAGTAGGCGAGTAGGCGATTAGGCGATTAGGCGATCGCTCAATGGGCGGAGCAACAAATCAATACGTATCCTTCTCTTATCGCCTACTCGCCTACTCGCCTAATCGACTACTCGCCTAATCGCCTAATCGCACGTACGATCGCCAACTATGAACGCTCCATAGGGCAGTGCTTTGCGATCGTATGTGTGATTAGGCGATAGCTCAGTGAGGGGTGGAGCACACCAATCGAGGGCACCTGACAGAAGGCCCGTCGCGCGGCGGGAAGGCAAAGACGTAGACGGGTTAGCTGACAAATCGCTGCGTGTTCTGTGGTCGGCGTCAACTCAAATGAAGCATGCTATAGTACATCCCACTTCACAGAATACGCGCTACGACTCGCCCCCTGACATATCTGCGTCTCTGGTTCTTCGCCGCGTGAGGGGCCTCCTGTTGGGTACCCGGACAGTCGATACGAAGGCATATTCACTCGCTTAACGGCCCATTCGCCTGATCGATACGTATCCTTTTCTATGGGCTAATCGCTTAATCGCAGTCGCCTTATCGCATAAAGAATGGCGAACTCCAGGTGTTCAACGTCTCATCATCAGACCATGTGAGTTGTGTAATAGTAAACGCTGAGAAGAAGGATTGACTGACCTTCTTGAGTGAGAGCTTGTAGAGAAATGAGGCTTATCCGTGAACACACCTTAATGATAAACAGTCAAGTATTTGGACTAATTTCTCAAACTTCTGATGAAGGAAGATGATAGTGATAGTAGGCTTTATTCCTCACAGTAGTTTTGCCCTACACAGCACTAAATGAGGGAGCAGACAACGCTTCCATCCCCAGGATAGGTTACTCGATACCATTTCTGTGAGTAGAGAAACACTGGCTTATGGAGAATAGTACAGGGTCGAAAGGGGTCTAGGTGGATGCGGAGCCTCAGGAGGTGGAATGGCTGGTACATTAGTGGGAAGCGCGAGATTTGCTATTTCAGAAGCCATAAATTTTTCCAGTTTGACGGGTGGAAGGGGTTAAGTTGGGCTAAGCTTCAACGACAATCTTGACACCTTTGATCGGGAAGGAAATCCTGGAAGAATTTGCACGCGGAGACCTACGAAGACCTCCCTTGAAGGAGAGCGTTGGCATTGCCACGGCCTTTTCTTCTCGATGCAATGTTCATCCTGCCTGAGAGGAAGCATGACGTGGATATCTGTAACAAAAAATGCCAGAAATATGGAAGAAGGTTGATCAATCCATCCAGCAGAGACCTACAAGATGTCCAATCAAGGACTGTAGCTGGTATTAATTCCTTGAAAACTGTACAGCTATGGTTGCTGTAGGCTTGTGCTCGATGCTTTGTTTGTTTCATCGAAGATCATCCTGCAGGATCAATCAAGTCTGAGATCAGCTCTAAAGTGATGAAGTTGTTGCGTGATTGGAAGATCTCGTAGAAAGGATTGAAAGTTACAGGCACGCCTCGACAAAATATTCAGTTCTGTAACAGCGCATTTGTGGGGAGAGCGGACGACCTGAACTATTTTTTCTGCAAGCGCGTTGAGCTAGAATACTAGGCTTACGTGCCTAATACGCAGCAATCGACAAGCTACCTAACGCGTTGAAAGCAGCTCGTATTTAGCCGCCGACCTATCTGCCGACCAGTTTTGCGGACGCTTTCTTTAACTCTCCTCCTTTGAGATCAGGCAGGTGGGACTTCTAGGTCAAATTCTCGAAGTTGAGCTTCATTGTTTTCTGTCCCAAGTACCTGATCCCCGTTTGAATAACTCCATGCTGGATGAAATCGTGTATGGCAAGGTAGCTTTGTGCTTTCAAAAAAGGCGATAAACGTCGGCCAAATAAATCGTTGCTTACAATCTCGGATATAAACCGAATTATTCTGACATCTATATCGAAAAAATGCTGAGATGGATCGGAGTTGCCACCTATGGATATGTTTTAGAACTTATTGAAGTCATTTGGAATGGATGAGGAAGAAGCGTTGGCGCCATGTCCTTGGGGGGGTGGGGTGGGGGAGCGTTGAGAGACAGGTGAGCCGATCACTGTACTTGTGAGTAAGTCTCAGGCATGAGAAGAGATTCTGTAGGAGATGCAAGCAATGTCTTCCTGGTGCTTCCATCAGGCTCTGTTGTGGATGTCCACTCCAATGGGGGGAGAGAGAAAGTTCACCGGCGGCACGGACGCGAGCGCGTGCCGGTGACATCAAAATAGCGTCGCAGCTGGGGCAGATTTGAAGGAAAGACGAACCCAGTGCCGGATTAACTCTTCGAAGAGAAGAGGGCTTGCGTGAGCAGTTCTCATTCTGTACATTCTCATTATTCGTCCCTCTCCGTCAGGCGTAATCTACTACTGTTTCACAACGAAAGAGTTCGAGAAATTTCCTGGAAAAAACTTTGTCGACCTAAGAAAGGAATTTTCTGGTCTGAATTCTGACTTTGCTGAGGTTTTTCTATGCAGTAAAAACCTCAGCAAAGTCAGAATTCAGACCAGAAAATCAGAATAAACAGAAAACTGGAACAAACAATTCATTTCCGCATTATATGGGAACGGGAAAAGGAAAAAGGTCTACTGGAACCGAAATCACCCATGCATTGATGAAATGTTAAAGGGAGGAGTCGGTTTAGCGTCCCTTTAACATTCACAATCGAATGACGCTTACAGAAACTCGTCCACCGCCACCGCGACGTCGCGGCCACGACCACTAGCGCGGGTCTTCCGGACGATTCTGTTGACACGCACCCGTTTTCGAGTGGCACTATAGATTGAGGACATCCCATGTATTGGGTACGAAGTGCATTGCCAAGCTGCACATGTCATTACTACGCTTTTGAATATCTTCACAGAGGCCATGTCTATGCAATAGGAGATGGCCAATTCGTATCCAATATGGAGTCTTTTTCACTTGTTCTAAAATAATAATTTGCAGCTGTTTCAAGGTGAGCTCGCGAGACCATTCGCTCCAGTGCGATTACGTTCCACCACACAAAATCAGTGCTTCTCCAAACTTGATGTACAAAACGCCGAATCACTACCGACTGCAATAGTGTTGGCATGCCTACTCGTCCGTAATTGATGGCCACTATCGATGCGCGTGCAGCCAATCGCAGCCAAGTAGGCGTCCAAACTGTCCAACACTACTGCAGTCCGTGGTTTATTCACAACCACGGGAAGGGCAGGCTAATAATAGAGCAGGGCATGTAGCGCGTGCTAACGTGCTGCGCCATTTCAGAAATGTGTGTGATTGACGGGAATGGTCTTGCCGGTTTACGGTCTATGTATGTGTGTGCTAGTGGAATATGTTTACAACAGAATGTGGGGTGAGCCTGTGGGTGTACTTGCCCTGCGCATCCACTGTCTGTGCTTGTTTTTTTGTGAATGAACAGCCTTAGACCCGTATCTATGGGTAGACACGGTTCTCGTGCGTGGAACTCCAATTCTCAGCCCAGGCTTAAGTCGTGTGAACAATTGCCTACGGTTTGTTGGATAGACCCTTGAAAGCAAGCCCCAGGATAAAAGTGATGATAAGAGCTTTTAATAGTGAACAACGAGACAGGGCGATGAAAGAGAACAAAATACGCGAGATAGTACGTCGTTCGAGCACGCTAATCTCT